CTCATGATCAGCAGCTACGTTTACAACCGATATACCAACAAGAGAGGCAAACTACTGAAGATTGTAGTTTTATTAGTTGAGATACTATGGGATGCACATCGGTTGTAACTCATTATATATAACTTTAAAAGCACGTAGTTGATTTTCAATGAGACCAGGCAAATCGACGCGGGTATTCCTCTTTAACTGTGATCCATCATTCACTTTGAGGTAGCGACGTAAGATTATCCACTACAATAAATCATGTCGTGAGAGGCGACAGAGCGAAGTTAAAACAAGATATGGGCGGCAGCATCTTCCTGATAACGAACGAAAATCATAAAAACACTTCGGTTACCAACCCGCCTGTCAATTGTAACTATGGCTAAATCAATAGGTTGCTAATCCATGAGACATTTATATGCAAATTGCACATGCATTTTGCATATAAATGGCTCATGGATTAGCATTGAATATTCATTTCAGTTCAGAAACGTCTTTGGCAACTACGTATATGTGATTCACAAATATTTGTGGGTTAACTATATAGGTGGCTCGGGGCCGTGTTTTGTGGCATTCCTTGGGGGAGGCCTATGTTCCGCAGTGGACTTGTGAAGGGCTGTAATGATGATGATTATGATGGACTATAATAACATAGTAGGTAGTCCATTGGTCAGGGTATTTGTATTGTCGCAGGTGCCAAGTTCAAATCCCATAGAAATAAGTTGTTAGTGTTCCGGTCTTGATGTATCGTACATTTTTCGGCATTCCCGACAATTCTTTCTAAGACAAATTCAAAATATTTTTTTTTTAATTCAATTTAGGCTTATATAAATTGTTTACTTTACAACAATACTGGGACAATGAAATTTAGAGATTTTATATTTTTCTTTATTTAAATGGTATTTAACAAATTCATTTAGGACTGATAGCAAAATCAATACCATGTTGAATTTCTTTTTTTTTAATAAGATAGGGGTGATAAACGAGCACACAGTCAGTTTTAGACGTGGTAGAGTCACGCTGCAGCTATATTATGGTTGTAGCATGAATGAATCGGCTCGACCGGGGAATAACCACGCTATTGCAGAGTACCAGCTTAAAATAACAGCTTAATGTCACCCGTGAGGACTAAGATGGAATGCCTCGTTTGCAGTAAAAACGATCTCCGCTTCTCTACACTCACCATACGAAACACAGCAGTGGTACTCTATGAGAGCGTGGTCATCGCCAGACGAGCCGACCCATTCGTCTTACAACTATAATAAAGCCACAGCATGGCTTTACTACCTATAATCTAATAATAATTTTTACAATTTCAGTATTAACTGTATATAAGCAGCCAGGAGACTTGCAAGTGTAGAGTTGAAGCTATTTTTACACATCTCAGTCCTCAATTCACTGGTTATTTAAAAAAAAGTCCATAAAGAGTTTCTTATTTTTAAAGGTCTTATTGTAAATTAATGTGTATGAACTAAAAAAGACTTTAGTATTTTACTAATTTTAAATTTTAGAACCTCTAACTTATGACCTTATCCTCTCTACAGGAGAGTCCGTCGGAGTTTTAATAATTAAATTTATTTTTATTTTGTCATAAATAATGTTTTCAAAAATAAACAACGATGGAAGTGCCAAAATATTCGTCTCATTGAAAGGTCGCTGCGCCTCCCGAGGCCCCGAGTTATAGATGTGATATATCGATTGCCTTTGAAACATGAATATTGCGCTATAATCCTGTACTGCGCAGGTAGCTAGTCTCCGTTATGACTGGCCACCGTGACCGAAATTCGATCTGTAGGACATTATAATTATTTTGGGGTATTTATATAGTTTTCTCATCTGATTGGTCTGTAATATATAAGTGAAAAGTAAAATAAAATAAATAAATAATACATAAATAAATAAAATCCCAACCAGATGGAAGCCCTCGGTCTGCTGAGGGTTAGGGATAAAGGAAAAGACCCAGCGGACAATGCGGGCGGTATCGCGGAGCACCGCCTGCTGCATTTGAGCATGGAGCAGTCCGTTATGGAGTCCCAGCTGACTCAGGTGACCCGAGAGGCTAACCAAGATTAGCCCGTTCGCAGAGATGACTACAGGAATAATTTCGATCCTTGATTAGCCCATTCAAAAATATCCTTGGCTGTGCCCGTTTTTTTTTCAGTCTGAATTATTATAACATAAACAAACAAACAAGTCCACTCGGTTGTCAAAATATTTTTTATACAATAAAGGTTACAAGCGAGCACACAGTCCACCTGATGGTCAGTGGTTGCTGTGGCCCATAGACATCTTCATCTATCCTCTATTACGAATCACAATTCAGATGCGTTGTCACCCGTGAGGACTAAGGCGGAATACCTCATTTCCAGTAAAAAGGGTATCCGGTTCTCTATACTCACCATACGGTACACAGCAGCATTAAGCTGCTATTTTACGCTGGTATTCTGTGAGAGCGTGGTCCTTCCCCGGTTGAGCAGACCCATTTGTGCTACAACTATACCAGTAATATAGCTGCAGCATGGCTTTACCACGTAAAATTAATACTAAATTTCTTATTTTTAATAGGGTAAAGGTGAATGAGCACACAGTCCACTTGATGGTAAGTGCTTTATATTGTCCATAGACGTATACATCTGTCTTCGATTAAGTATTAAAATGCCATGTCTTACCAGGTCATCATGACACTGAATGTGTAGTGCGGTACGCTGTCTTATTTCTGATAAGTATTAATTGCGTAAGCAAGGAAGCAAGTTAAGCGTCCGCACAGGTTATTATTGCTTTTAAAAATAGGTAACATCTTAATTTATTTCTAACTATATTTATACGTAATAATAAATGTTTCTTTTTTGTCTATTCTTTGTTTCTTTGTATGATAAAATTCATCAAATTACGATGAAACTTTAGTGAGTTGATGTGCGCATGGCCGCGAATTATTATGACAAAAAAGGCATTGGAACATTTTATACATTCAAAAAAGTCTATATCTTTATAACATTCAACTTCTGTAACACTTACAAGTAAAGTGGCCAACTTTATGAAGCTAACATTACTGTCTTTTTATTTATACATGTAAATAAAATTGAAGTGTCGATCTGTAATATTGTATAATATAATTCTTTATATTGAGTATGCTATTATGTAATGAACAGGTATTTTAAAAAATCTGTTTAATATTCGGAACGAAGGAACCGATTGTAATGAAATCATCTAGACTATTTTAATCTGAGAATCTTGGGGTATTTTGAGAAATCGAAAACTTGATAAAAAAAATGTCTGTAATAAAAATCATTATGATTTAAATATAAATAACGCTACAAAAATAAATCTATCGCCGTTCGATTGTAAATCAATAAAATTATTGCGGCTGTAGAAGAGGTTGTATCAAATTATATTAATTATTTTTCCTGTTATTTATAAAAATGATTACTTCTCCTTTTTATATCAGACCACCCGTAAAAGTGCACTGCGGAATTTGAACTTCTCACTTTGCCTTTATCGCAACACTGTAGTACCAGGTGCTCGAAACTTTCTGTTTTTTCTTATATAATTTCTAATTTAAAAAAATAAAAACGTTATTTCCACACTAGGATTTTCTCCTGTATCATGGATGCAGTTTACATACATAAGTTTCACAACTACAAACATCCAGACTTAAAACAATGACTTGTAGTCCATACAAATACTTATTCCGTGCGGGATTCGAACCCGCGCCGCTTAGCGCTTCAACTCATTTCTAAACCAGTGCGCCACGGGGCCATCGCCTTTGACGCTACTTCCCGTCTCTGGTCTAGAAATTTCACGTCTAGTGTCAATGAGTTTGTTGTATCGCCATCTTTCGAATGCTATGACATTATTCTGGTATTTCGCATACTCCCCTATACCATATTTAAGTAGCTTTATTATGGTTGTAGCGGGAATAGATCGGCTCGAACGGGAAAGACCACGCTCTCACAGAATACCAGCGCAAAATAGCAGCTTAATGTTTTGAGTATAGAGAGCCGGATAACCTTTTTACTGGAAATACTTAAGTTACTTAGTCCTCATGAGTACAACGCACCTGCATTTTTATTTTTATTCGAGAATAGACGTAGATTTCTATGGAACACGGCATCCACCTACCATCAGGTGCACTGTGTGCTCGTTTGTCAAATTCATTCTATAAAAAAAACCGGCCAAGTGCGAGTCGGACTCGCGCACCGAGGGTTCCGAACAAATACGTAGGTATATAAGTTTAAAATTATTAAAAATATTTTTATTATATGATTTAACTAAAAATTTATGCTTTTCGCAATTTTTCCTTTATTGGTGCTATAAAACGTTGCTTCGTAGCAAATTTTAAGATTCTGAGTTCACGGGAAGTACCCTGTAGGTTTTGATTCCCTTGCGAATATCGAAAATTTGAGGCATAAACGGCTGGATCTTTTGATTGCGTTGGCTTAGAAATTTGATTTTTTCACAGCTCCAACGGACAGTAGACTTGAGTATTTGATATGAATTTCAGCTTGATACCTCCACGCGTTCTTGAGAAAAAGGGTCTTGACAGACAGACAGACAGACAACAAAGTGATCCTATAAGGGTTCTTTTTTTTCCTTTTGAGGTACGGAACCCTAAAAACAATACCCATGGGACAAATAGGGATCATTGATTTTCTTAAGCCACCACACAGCCATCAATTGTTACAAGTTTGTGATAACGTCTAAGTTATTAGGAAAACAATGAATAAAAAGCAAAAATTGGCTAAATAAATGTATTGATATAATTTTTCTTATCACAGAAATGTATAAGGTACTTTTTGAATATTTAACACAATATAATACAGTTCAGTTCAGTTGGCAGCTTCAAAACAAAAACAGTCAGAACACCAGTAAGCACGTAAATACCTAATGTAGACGGATCACGACGTTGTTGCAGTAAGTAGTTGACACATGATTATAAGGCAATTGACATGGATCTTTTGTCACTGTTTTCTTTTGTATGCTAAACTGACACTGAGATTGTTGGCATCCCTACGTATCGCCTACCACCATCCACTCCTCCAGCCAGAGGACCAGCCGCCGTAGCCGCCGAGACCGCTGTAACCGCTGTAGTACGGCGAGTAGACCACCGGCGCTGAGTAGACCACGGGCGAGGAATACGCGTACGCGTACGACCGAATGTAGCCGGCCGAGGCTACGGCCAGAATGGCAATAACAGCAAAGATGCAAGCCTGGGAACGAGGGCAATTATTTCAATTACGTAACTAAACTAGATTTAAACAGCTAGAAACAACATTTTGGTAAAATGCAAATTGTTGCTATCCAGCCTGATTATGTTGCAACTATTCCCGTAGTTTTAACATTACGTCCAGCTTACGTTGAATTTTATTGCATTACACTGGGTATGGGTGGGTTAAACGACTCAAGGCCTCTGTTGATACGCGTTATTTGTCACAACTTAATATTTACTTCAGTATCACTGAATTTGATTTATAGAAATCTCCCCAATTGTAAATAACAATGTTTTATAAATAGCAAATGCATAAAAACATATGCGTAGTTAAAAAAATAATATTTAGATAACAGAAATAATAATTATAAATGCTATAAAAACCCAATGAGTTAATTAATTTAGTAATAATGAGTATTCTCAAATAGGAACGAAAATAATTCTTAATAGTTCTAATGATTAAGGATCAACAACTTACGAAGAATTTCATTTTGGTAGTTGTTGACTGCTTCAGGAGCGGTGAGTTAGTACGAAGTGCGAAGCGAATCTTTTCCCTTATATACATACATCTCGTCACCGAATATGAATATGTGACGTTGTCTTAATTGACCTTAATAACAGTTCAAGAAAACTGGCCAAAGAAAACACTAGATAATGTTATTCATTGTGTGACATCTATTGGAGGACGTGCCTCTCCTTTTAGTATCGAAACAGACATATTTTAGATCGTAAGTTGTAGTGTCGTTTCTCACTCAGTAACTATTGCTCTTTTCGTATTAACCGTTTGCATGTTACTTCGAGATAAATCGGTAATGAATATGATATATTGATGTTTTGTTTACGGTAACTAACTAAATAGTATCATTTGTTGTTGTCATGCCGCAGGTCCCAAGTTCCAATCCCATAACGGCATAGACCTAATATCCGAATAAGTTATCCGTAAAGACACAAATTATTGGTTTTCGGATATTCATGTATTGTTCCCAAAGTCTATGACAATGCATTCAAAGTCAAAATCAATATATTTTTTTTTAAATTTAGGCTTGCTTAAATCTTTAATTAACGTCAACATTTACATCAGTACGCAAAAACGAAAACTTTTCAGGGAAGAACCGAGAAACTCTTGGGTTTTTAAATGCCATATTACAGTTTAATTTACAACTTATAATAAAATGAATACTAAATTTCTTCTTTTTGATAGGGTAAAGGTGAATCAGCACACAGTCCACTTGATGGTAAGTTTATATTGCCCATAGACATATACATACATCTGTCTTCGATTAAGAATCAAAATGCAGATGAGTTGACACCCCTGAGGATTAAGATGGAATGCCTCGTTTCTAGTAAAAAAGGCTATCCGGTTTTCTACGTTTAGCCGACCTATTCATCTTACAACTATACTATATGCAGGTGCAGCATGGCTCCTACACGTATAGACCTTTAATGTTTTTTACAATTTTAGTGTTAAAAATACATGAGCAGCCAGGGGACTTACAAGTGCAGTATTAGAGTTGTTTTCACACATAATTGTCCTTAATTAATTTGTCTTTTTTATATTAGGGTTCACTTAAAAATTCTTAACGAGTGTTTTAAATGTTATTTTTGCATATTATTTTTATAGATATTATTAAAATGAATGAAATGAAAAATATTAATGGCGTTGCATGTGTTTTTTTTTAAATAGTATAAGGTGATAAACGAGCACACAATCCACCTGATGGTAAGTGGTTGCTGTGGCTCATAGACATCTACATTTATCCTCGTTTGCGAATCAAAATGCAGATGCGTTGCCACCCGTGAGGACTAAGATGGAATGCCTCGTTTCCAGTAAAAAGGGTCTCCGGTTCTCTACACTCACCATACGAAACACATCAGTGTTAAGCTGATATTTGACGCTGGTATTCTGTGAGAGCGTGGTCCTTCCCCGGTCAAGCCGACCCATTCGTGTTACAATATACTACTAATATAGCTGCAGCATGGCTATACCACGTATAAAGTACGTAGTATGTTACTCTTTTTTATTGCTGATAAGAAATTATGTAAGCAAGAATGCGAGTAAAAATCCGCTCTCAGGCTCTCATGGAACAAATCTTGGACAGTATTCTCCAATAACACGTATAACACGCGTATACAATATATGTGTAAAAAACAGCAACACTGGACATTGGTTGTGACAGGCTCACACTTTTAATGAAAAAATGTAACGACAGTTTAAAAAAATAATTACTCACTAACTTTATGCGAAACTTAACTTTTATTTACGAGTATGTTACGAAACTATTATCTGTCTTTTGTTCGTTAAACTTATTTTTGTTCCAACTAATGGTAGTTTAAAATAGGCAAATTATAAACACTGCTATTGTTTTAGAATGACGTATTCTTCTATAATTGGTAGTACATAGTAATTTGCAGATGTCAGGCATGTGTTATATGTAATTTAATATACACAACTGTTGGATATCCATACAAATAAATAAATCATACGTGGTAGAGCCACGCTGCAGCTATATTATGATTGTACTATATCAACGTACATACATAAATAGTACATATAAATAACTATATATATATATATATATATATATATATATATATATATATATATATATATATATTTACCTCTCTCCCAAGAAACCAAAATCATACCGTCAGGTCTATTGCCATCGTCTAAATATTCTACAAAACTAAAATCGAGGGAGCACTTTTCTTACATGAAATTCCATGAAGCCCAAACTCGTCGATGATGCTTCCATAGGGGCACGAATGAGGTTGACAAATCGCAGCTCCTAGACGGATTCCTACGGCGATGCGCAATCTTTCCCTATCAAGCAATTATCAGTGACTAGATTCCTTAGTCGTAACAGTTATAAGGCGAGCCTGATCTTGGTCACTATAGAAATTATGAAACAAATGTTTCTGCATACTCCGTATCAACGGAATGTGGGATATTTTTATCTTTAGGGATTTTGTTGGTTAACTTAGTAACGTAGTGGAACATTTTCACCGGTACAGAGCGTTAGCCATATTTTCCTTGCATACGCAGCGTTTGTTGGTGTTTTTTATTATTTAAATTTATGTTCCATAAGTTATTGAAAATAAAAACTGAATCCAGGAAAACAGACAATGCAATGCTAAAAAGATTTCTTACACCAATATCACCAAATTTTATAGGTATGGTAGCTATATCACTTTATCGAAACAACTGTCTTATATTGTACTGAATAAGTTATTTGCATGCCATTAAGATATAAATAATATTTTTTTTTTAAATAAGATAAAGTCTTGTTTTCCTTCATCACTCCACCCGTATCAGTTTACTGCTGTATATAAACCTCTCTCGTTGCATTAATCGCAACATTGTTGTACCAGATGCTAGCACCTTTCTTTCTTTTCTTATTTCTTTACTTATTTAAAAAACGGTACCCCCGCACTAGGATTTTCTCAAGGAGCCATGGATGCAGTTTACATAGATAAATTTCACAAGAACAAACATCCAGACCTGGAAATATTATTTGTAGGCCATACACATACAAGTTCCGTGCGGGATTAGAACGTGTCACCTTCAGCGCTGCCACCCATTGCTGAGTTACTGCGTTACTCTGGTTTTCACGTCTGGTGTAAACGAGATGGTTATATCGCCATATATTGAACGCCACAAGATCACCCTGGTATTTTGCATACTCCCTTATACCACGCTCAGCTATATTATAGCTGTAGCAGGAAAAGGCCCGCGTGACCGGGGAAGTACCACGTTCACACTTAATACCAGCTTATATTATCGCATTTACCATGGGGAGTGCTCCGAGGAATTGTTCGGACTAATTCCAGCCGTTCAATTTCACCATCGCACATCGCGACATAACTTGCGATACCATCCATACCACCTGGATGATTGGCGGTCCACCACTATGCGAGTTAGAAAATGTTTTCTTCCTCGCACAACTTCCTTGTGGAATCGATTACCACCAGCGATTTTTCCGGACCAATAGGACTTAGGAACCTTCAAGAAAAGAGCCTACTCCTTTTTGAAAGGCCGGCAACGCATCTGATATTCCCCTGGTGTTGCAGTTGTTCATGGGCGGCGGTAATCACTTACCATCAGGTGCATGCTCGTCTGCCCCCTCTCCTATAAAAACAGCGTCAAGTAGCAGCTTAATGCTGCTGTGTTTCATATGGTGAGTGTAGAATCGAGGCATTACGTCTTAGGGATGATTCTCATTAGAGCGAACTGTGCTCGGGGCGGCGCCCGGACGGGGCACGGTTTTAATCTGTTACATATATTTTGTATGATTCAATTTATATTACACAGTGGATTATACGTGTCCCGTCCGGGCCCGCTCGACTCACTTCAATACCACGTTTGTTGCACGGTCCTGCCCCGCCCCCTTCACGTCCCGTCGTAATCCGAACATTCTTCCGTGCTGCGTCCGAGCACTGAGCGACGAATGTTTAGTGAGGGTACACGCACGTGCAAGTTTGTTTTACAGAAGATTTTGGAAACTGAGTTTCTTTTGTTGCAATATTATTCCATCCATGACTTTGCGGATAATGGATGATGACAAATTAATTGAAAAAGTCCGAAAGTATTTTTTTTTTTAGTATCCGGAGTTGTATGACATGTCCCATCAAAAATATATGGATACAATATTCAAAATGTCATTATGGACGACAATTGGCAATGAATTAAATGAAACAGGTGAGTATGTATTTTAATCAATTTATTTAAGAATTACTCATATAGTTTTTTAGGGTTACGTTTTCTTAGGTTCTATATAAAACAAAGTAAATCATTTATTGCAACTGTAAACACACATACATATATTAAACCACATACAACAATGAGGAAAACAATCAATCATCATCATCATCATCAATACAGCCCTTCACAAGTCCACTGCTGAGCATAGGCCTCCCCCAAAGAATGCCACAAAGCACGGTCCTGAGCCACCTGCATCCATCGACTTCCTGCATATCTTACCAGATCGTCACTCTATCTAGTGGGGGGACGCCCTACACTTCGCCTGCCGGTACGAGGCTGCCACTCGAGAACCTTTCTTCCCCATCGGTTGTCGGTTCTTCGAGCTATATGGCCGGCCCATTGCCACTTCAGCTTACTAATCCGTTGGGTTATGTCGGTCACTCTGGTTCTACTGCGGATATCCTCATTTCTGAGTTTATCACGCAGAGAAACTCCGAGCATAGCCCTCTCCATAGCTCGCTGAGCGACCTTGAGCTTCCTCATCCGTCCAGCAGTGAAGAACCACGTCTCAGTTCCGTATGTCATCACTGGCAACACGCACTGGGTGTATAGTCTCGTTTTCAAGCTTTGAGGTATACCTGACGAGAAGATATGCCGTAATTTCCCGAACGCTGCCCAACCGACTTGAATCCGTCGATTGACCTCTCGGTCGAAGTTGGACTTACCTAGTCGGACTATTTGTCCCAGGTAAACATACTCGTCAACAACTTCGAGCTTAGTGTTCCCAACAA